TCAAAATAGAGAAAACAACAAAACCCAATCTTTAATAATTAATAACAGAAAATCAGAACTTATAAAACGACCTTTCAAAATCAATTTCATTTATAATATGTGGGTGCGTACCTCGTTTGGGGACTGAGAAGAAGAGGCACCGCAAATGAGGATAGAGGAAAGGGAACGTTTGGCGGTGGGTCGTCGGCGTTGGCGGGTCCCGACCCCATCCCGAGGCGACTGGCAGGATCGCAGCCGGCTGCTGCCCGAGCCCATTAACCCCTCCTCTACTCCAACCAAAGAGAGATGGAGACAGAGATATATATGATAAATATATATGGTCTATTCGTTGTAGGTGGGAGGAACGGGCATTTAGAAAATGATAGAGATGGTGAATGGTGATAATAATGGAAGGCTCTGTGTGTTTTTGTGCGTCTCTGTGTGAAAGAGAGAGAGATGGCACTGGAAAACTATTTTTGAATTTTGAAATTGGTAGTTTATTAATTGGGAGTTAAGGTATTAAATAGTATTTTTGGAGGGTTAACAACTTTATTGGTCCCCAAACTTTCAAAATGTGTCAGTTTAATCACCAAACTTATATTTTCTTATATCTATTAGTTGATTTAACAAATTTGGTGTGGGGTTCTATATGAAAAACGAAATTGATTATTGTACCAAGGATAAATCGAATTAATATCATAAATCACGTTGAACTTTGTGTTCAATGAATAAATTTATGGATTAAGTTAAAAATTTGAAAATGTTTAGATAAAGATTGTGAAATCAAGGACTTATTTTACAAATATTTTTGAAAAATCAAAAGTTATTTTTGATATTTAAAAGCTATTTTTGAACATATCTAAATTATTATTTGAAAATATTTTATTTGATTAAAAGAGTTTTTAGAATAAATTGGTCTAAAATAACTTCTTCATTACACTTTTCTACACAAAGTAGAAGCAAAAAAAGAGATTTCGTAAAAATAGTCCTCTAAGTGTGTGAAAAAGCCTTTTTTAGCTTATTAATGTCGTGTCACTAAGGTTCTTAGCCATATAAGCATTTCCATTAAGCACCTCAATAAAAGCGTTTAATTTTTTTTATATAAATGTAAAACGTGAGTTAACTGAAAGAACTTTGTTAGTTGCGCTACCATATATGCTAAAAACAAAGTTTCGTGACTAAAGTGAAGCTTTATGAAAGTTTGGTGACTAAGATAGTTTTTTACCCTTTGATGTTAGAGCCTGTTTGATGCTCATTTTTTGTAAAAAAAAAAAAAATTGGAATAATGATTTGATGAAAAATATGTGATTAAAAAATCAATTATTCTGATTTGCCAGAAAAAAATTTACATGTCACTCACATGTGTTGGGACCCACGCGAGACCCTTATAAATTAAACAATCGTGCTACAGCGCCCACCTCGGGGACAGGGGGCTGAGGTGGTATCACCTCAGCCCTCGAGCCCTCGATTTCAACTTCATTTTTTTTTTCAGATCCAATAACCGAGGTGTTGCCACCTCGGCACCCTGTCCCCGAGCCTGGCCACATTGCATCTTCCTAAATTAAAAAAGACAAAAAACTCAACCCCTCCCATTTTGTGGAGGCTATCAGGGAGAGTGTCAAACCTTCCTTGGTAGCCTAATAAGATTGTTAAAAAATAAAGAAAATTTTTTAGTTTGTGTGTAATATTATTTTATTGAAAAATGTGTGGCTAAAAATAAGAGAGAGAAATGTATTTTTAAAAAAATGGAAATCAAAGAAGGCCTTAATTGTTTTATGCTTTGTTGTTTTCACTTTTCATTTGATTTGAATAGGCACCTAAAATGAGAGAGACCTCACATAACTTGCGCTTGAAGAAATGTAAATAATAAACCAATTTCCATAAAACTTTCTAAAAATCTTAGTTGTTAATTAATACTTTAGTAAGGTTGGAGTATAGCTGTATAGGAGAGCGAAAAAATAGTATTTACTGGAGAATGGTTCTTTTATCTAGTCAAGAACAAAAAAGAATGTCGGACTGAGCTGTAAACAATCTCAAATAAGCAAAAGAGCACTTGAAAAAATATTTAGAATATTTTATCTAAAAAACGATCATTATAATTACACTTACATTTGTAAATGTTATAAAAATGAAAAAAACAGAAGAAAACATAAAGAAGTCAATTGACTTGTGTGTGTTTTATTAAGAATCAAAGCTCTATATTTATTGGACAGAATCATGGATACAACAGTAATTATTTTTAAGGTTGCAGGAATGTAATTATCATTCACTTCTAAATCTTAATAAACTTTCCTTTTACAACACTCCCCCTTAAATGACACATTACAAAATATATGCATCATTAAAACTTTATTTGATAAAAACCCAACGGAAAAAAAATCAAAACGAATGAAAAACAATTCAATTATTTTGGAGTACTAAAAATAAATGTTGCCTTATTAAAACCTTGTTAGGAAAATCTAGTGAGACAAAACCTAAGTGAAGAAAAAACAATACAGCTACTTCCCTGATATTGATCACTGAAAATCTTTGAGTCGGCGCATTCCAATCTCATTAACTAATTTCTTGAATGTAGATATTGGCAGTACTTTTGTAAATAAATCAACCACATTGTCACTTGAGCGAATTTGTTGGATATCGATGTCGCCATTCTTTTGAAACTCGTGTGTATGAAAGAATTTTGGAGAAATATATTTCGTTCTGTCACCTTTGATATAGCTTCCTTTGAGTTGTGCAATACAAACTGCATTGTCTTCACACAAAATTGTTGGACTATCAATTGTTGAGGTTAATCCGCATGATACTTAGATATGATGGGTCATGTTTCTCAACCATACATATTCTCAGCTTGCTTCATGGATTGCAATAATTTTTGAAGATGTTGCTGTCAATGATTGCTTCACAAATGTCAATGATATAGTCGTTCCTCTACATATAAACACATAACATGTTTGTGATTTAGCTTTATGTGGGTCAAATAGATAACATGCATTTGCATATCCCATTATCGTAGATCCCTGTTGGTTAAAATTTTTTAAAGGTTTGTATGAAACAGATTTTCCATAAATGATTTGCAAAAACAGTAAAGTAGAAAATGATTTGTAGAAACAGTAAAGCAGAAAATGACTTGTAAAAACAGTAAAGCATAAAATGATTTGCAAAAACAGTAAAGTAGAATATTATGTTCGAAAAATTATGAAAAGAAAGAAGTCCAGAATTCGGAAAGAGGATGATCGAGGCGAGAACTAGGCTCTTTGTCCTTGAGACGTTTTTACCCCGTCACACGGTGCTTACGGTATGTGGTAAAGCGTCTCCCAAGATACAACGATCACACTTGCAGAAGCAGCACTTCGACTGCAAGACAACGAACCAGAACGAATGAAAATACTCTCTGCAGACTGATGCAAGGAAGAAGAGATGTATGATGTATGTATGCAGGAAATCGTGTGTATACTTTGTGTTGTATGAGGACTATTCAAATAGAGGAAGAAAGTTGACAGTTTTGGGCAGTTTCCCTCACGCCACTTAATGCACAGTTTCTTCGAACTGATGGGTCGGTTTGTAAACTGTCAAAGGGAGGGAAAAAATTAAATTCAATTTTTTTTTTAAACCGAAAATAAATAAAAAAATTGAATTAATTTTAACCCAGGCCCACACCCACACCCGAACCCGACCCGGCCGGCCGGTCGGCGGCGGCGGTGCGCGCGCGCGCGTGTGGCCTTTGGACTAGTCTAGACATTGTCTAAGACTCCCCCCTTTCAAAGACTATTGGTACCCCTTGGAGCCCAAACCCATTTCCAAACTTGAAACTTATTAAGTGGTTCAAAGTTGTGTTTGCAACCTATGTGGGATTGGAACATTTTTCCAATTCTTTCCCATTTATCCTCTTATTTATTATCCAACTTTCAACCATAATTTCTCATTCATATTGAAATGGTTTTTCACAATTAAATATTCTACACTCATCTACTCGGAACGTAGAATTTAATTGAACATTAATCTTGATACATCGAACATCGGGTCCCACTTAAAATTGTGGTCAAAATTGACCCAATAGACCCACCATTTCCAACAATCTCCCACATGAATGGAAATTATCATGACTATGCAATGCAGACACGAACAGAGAGTACAGGCAAAAGGATTATTGCATCAGGAGAGATAGCTTTTGGCCTTGAACCTGCCTTAGTGGAATACTATCGAGTTTACTTGGCTAATCAGTGAACTGATGTCTTGAATTGTTCAGCCGTTGGTGTAAACCAAGGCAACAGTATCCACACAATAACCTTTCTATTCAATTCTTAGGTTCTCATAGTTGTGTTCATTTTGGCCCTGAACGATTCTTGGGATTCATAAGTGCTTTAGAGAATTTCAAGCCCCAAATTCTCATAGAAGCGGCCCCACTTCACACTTATATAGGTGATCTCCTATTAAGAGTATTCTGCTATACCCCACTTGGTTTATCCAAGCTATAGGAATCATTAAAAGTTACAACTTATCCTTTTACTTTCTGCAGACATCACTTTTTATAAAGGGATGGTTAAGTGCTTAACTGAGTCTTAATAACTTAGTTGTCCCATTGAACCAAGATCTTGGGATCTCCAGTCAACAAGGTTGGGTTACCATCATTAAGATTCATGCGTGTTTGGCTTTAATCCCATTCCCTTTGATAGATAATATACTTGATCTCTTGGTAGACCTTTTGTGAGCGGATCCGCGAGATTCTCCTTTGATTTCACATAATCAATGGAGATAATACCATTTGAGATCAACTGCTTTATGGTATTGTGTCTACGACGTATATGTCTAGACCTACCATTATACATGCAATTTTGTGCCCTTGCAATATCAGACTGATTGTCACAGTGAATACTAATTGCAGGCACCGGCTTAGGCCAACATGGGATATCCTCTAAGAAGTTACGTAGCCATTCTGCTTCTTCTCCAGCTTTATCTAATGCAATAAACTCCGATTCCATTGTTGATCGAGCTATGCAGGTTTGCTTTGAGGATTTCCAAGACACTGCCGCACCACCAAGTGTAAATATATAACCACTTGTGGATTTGGAATCTTTCATATCAGATATCCAATTTGCATCACAATATCCTTCTAATACTGCTGGATATCTCATATAATATAATCCAAATTTTAAGGTATGTTTTAAGTATCGAAGTACCCTATTCAATGCCTTCTAGTGATCATTGCTTAGATTACATGTGAACCTACTCAATTTATTAACTGCGAATGCAATGTCAGGACGTGTGCAGTTCATTAAGTACATCAGACTTCTGATAACCTGAGAATATCTTAATTGATGTACAGGTTCACTTCTATTTTTTGCTAAGTGTAGACTTGTGTCTACTGGAGTCTTGACTGGACTTTCATCAAAGACTCCAAATCTCTTTAGTACAGAGACTCCAAATCTCTTTAGAACAGACTCAACATAATGAGATTGTGAAAGAACGAGGCCACCT